ACAAATGTGTAACTGATGAAGGGAGAATTTCCTTGTATGTTTCCAAAGTAGAGTATTGAGTGCTAAGATTTCCTCCTTACACTGACTTTCATACTGGAAAAGTATAAAAAGTAGCAATCCCATAATTTTGGACTCCAGTGAATACCTCACTTTGTATTGAGCCACTGAGAAAAAAAATGACACTGTGAACAACGTGCTGTGATTAGGAAAGTGAGGCATCATGGAGCTACCTCTATCAACACAATTCTTGGAGTTTTATGTACCCTTTGAAGTTCATAGTCACGGGCCCTGTAGGATAGTGACAGCTCTATTACATTGAATTTAAGTTGTCTTTCTTAACCATCTTCTAAACTGGGCCAGTCTTTTTTATTTAGTTTAACACAAAAAGCAAATGAAGTTTAAGAGAGAAAAAGAAACACATTTAGCAGTCTGGCATTATTTACCTATAGCAATATGATATTCTATCTTTATTTGGGAAGGAAATAAAAAAGATTGACCAGAACTTCCTAATCCAAATATTTTCTAATAGCAATGGATACCAAAAATATAAACATAATATTATGTTTATTCATTCTAGCTGTAAGAATTTAAATTTTTTATCTCTTTTTAAACTAGATCAGATGTTTTTAAAGACATTTTCCAGCTATATATTTTAATGACTTCAGCAGTATTAATCTTTTCCATTTATTTATTTTTTTGTGCAACTACTATTAAACATTTTAATGCCAATTTGTGTTAGATGTTATGAGGACAAGAATGAACAATGCAGAAACCATCTTTATGTAATGCTAGTCATTTAACTTGGTGCTTGTTTGCATTTTATGTTTTATAGGACCACCTAACATGCAGTTTACAATACTGGGACAGTAACTAAATTGATGATATTTTCAGTTAATTAATTAGAAAAAATCTACTTCAATTAAAACCTATAATATTAAAATTTTAACTTCTGTGTTATATAACTCTCCTCAATATATTCTTATCTAATTACATATTTTGACTAATAAGAATAAAATAATAAATGATGAATAGCATATTTTTAAAAAATATGATTGAAGTTGTCTTAAAAAATGAAAAATTCATCTTTTCCATTTTATAGAAACCATGGCAGAAAATGCAATAAAAATATCTTGGGGAGAAATTAATATTGACTCTATATCTAAGTGAGGAAAAAAGCATACATTTTTGTTATAATTTTCAGGAAATCTGCTAAGTTCTAATTTACTTGTGACCTAACACTATTTCTTTCTTGAGAAGTCCCATGGTTAGATTAAAAACATAATGTCTTTTCTTCATAAATAAGTGATATAGAATAAACAGATTATATATATATTTAACTACCTTTTCATATTAAGTTTGTATTTATAAGAATTATGTATAAATTAAAATGTCATTGTTTTAATTTCATAAAATGTTTCAAATTTATATATTTATTTAGTTTTAAATTTCTGACTTTAATTTTATTGCAAATTCCTATTAGGCAACATAGTGTTAAATTGTTAAATTTCCTTTTTCATTAAAATGTATTTCTATACCTAGGTTCTCCCTTGAAATAAATGATAAAATAAAATGTTTCAGGATCCTTATATATGTAATAAAATATGTAAATACAGTATCAATCCTATATTATCTTGGAAATATTTCTCATTCTATTTATATTTAAAATAGATTCCAATGAGATTTAAATATGATGATGATATAACTACATTAGGCCTATGACTTGATTAGAAATAATAGCAAAGAACAAACCAGGTATACATATACAAGAAAACATGTAAATAGGTAGGTTTTCCTATAGTAGTTACTTTAATCAAACATTAACTAAACCATAGGAAAATATTTAGAATAGGGATTGGCAAACATTTTCTGCAAAGTGCTTGATAATAAATATCTTAGGCCTTGCAGGCCACATAGTCTTCATCACATCTACTCTCTTTTGCCATTAAGTAGGGCAGGGGTGGTAGATAATATGGAAGCAAATGGATAGTTCTGTGTTTTAATAAATCTTTATTTACAGAAACAGGCACTGATCAAGATTAGGCTTCAAGGGCTATAGTTTGCCAACCCAACTTTAGAGGCATTATGGTTTTGGAGGTTTTGGAGGAGATATAGATGTCTTTGCAGGTGCAGTAATGGCAATCTAGGGTTGTCCCTAATGTTTGTTGCACTGATGAGGAATCTATTTATGTTGGTCCCCTATAGTAAACCTTCGTAGAGTCGCCCTTCTGTATCTGTGGGTTCTACATCCACAGATTCAACCAACCAAGAATGGAAAATGTTTGAAAAAAATGTGGTTATGTCTGTACTGAATATGTACAAACCTTTTTCTCTTGTCATTGTTCCCTAAACAATATAGAATAACAACTATTTACATAGCATTTACATTGTTTTAGGTACTATAAATAATCCAGAGATGATTTAAAGTATATGGGAGGATGTGCATAGGTTATATACAAATACTACACTTTTTTATATAAGGGAGTTGAGCATTCATGGATTTTGGTATCCACAAGGGTCCCAAGGAATGCCTATACTAATAGAATACCTGCATTTAAATTTTGAAAAAAAATAATTTAAATGAAGACGAAAGTTACAGTAATCAAGACAGTTCTGTACTGAGTAAAAGAAAGACATATAGATTAACAGAAAATAATAGAGACTCCAGAAATTAAGCCATATGTATATCATTAAGTTTTGATGAGATGTGAAAGTAATTCTATGGGTAAGGGATAGTCTTTTAAGCAAAGGGCTCTGGTGCGATTGTATAACCAAGCCTTCCTATTTTCCTTTCCTTCAATATCAGATAATTTTAGATTGCATGGCATTTGTCAGCTAAGAAATTAAATATAAGCTTATTTGCTAAACAAATAAGATGGTTATGAAGTTCATGCTAAAAAAGATTAGAAACAAAATGAAATAATCACAGCGAGGAACATTTTAGGAAGACAACTCAAAATTAATTAAGGATTGTCTAGAAGAATTAAGGTCTCAGTTGAGGAAAGCCATAAGAATTTTAGTTGAACAAGCCATTATTGTGAGTTCAGAGGAAATACAGGCTGGGACTTGACAAATATAGGAGTTCAATATATTACATTTGTTCTTCCAGATCTCTCTGCTCTTATTCACTCCACCCTCTATATACTGGACACCAACTCAGAGGACTGACCATATTCTCCCGCCACTGATTGGGTTTGGCCAATAAGAAGCACCCACAAGAGAACAGAATAGGAGAATAAGGTTGGGTATGTATCCCCCAGTCTCCTCTTTTTTGGTTGTCATTAAATTGCCTGTGTCCCACTTCTAAAGGCCACAGCTTCTGCAAGCTGGGAAGCTTTCTTTTTCAGGTTCTGGTCCTGTTTCTCCTCTGTCACTTTGGCCCCAATGTTGGTAATGATGTTCTGCTACTACTAGTCTCTTCAGAACTATACTATCCCTCCTAGCTTTCCTTAAATTCTACCCATAACTTAACAAATAATCTCTCTGTTAAATTCTCTCCAAATAACCAATTGAAGTGTGTTATCTATTCCCTTATGTGACCCTGACCAACACAGTGGATAAAAATATTGAAGAATGCCAGAAAGTGCCTTGTAAATGATTGACTATTCTTTATAAAATGATTAGAAAGGCAAGAAAAAGTAGGAGACTAAGAGATTTAGAATAGATCAGAACCATCAAAGAATGTTTGTAGGGGATGGGAAAAATGGAAAGTAACAAGGTTATATTCAAAAAAGGTAAAATTAGAGTTTAATTTCCCGATAATGAAGAATATATATCCTTATTATTTGCAAGGGGTAACTATGGGGTGAATTATTGAGAGAAGTTTTAACTCAGATGGATTTACAAAGAACCTTAAATATGACAAACAATATATTAAGTATCGAATGTGAATCATAACAGTTAAACCACAAACTAATATCTTGTAAAAAGTACAAGGAGAATACTATATTTAAATGTGTAATTAAATTCATTATGCTTTCTCTGAAACTTTGTAGAGAAAACCATATCATATTGAACATACTAAATATAATGACTTGATCATTCATATTACCAAGTTGCCAGCCATAAATTTAGTTGTTAACTTAAAACCTTTTAAAAGTTGAGGGTTAGTGAAGCTGAAACATACAACCACACATATACAAACAAAAAACCCCTATAAATTTATCATTGAAGAAATTAACTTTGCTACCCCAGAGTAACCTCACAAATTCCACAAGATAGAACTTCTTTAAATTATGCTAAAAAATTCTCTTTCTGATCAATACAATTCTTTAAACTCTTTTTTTGCATCTTCACCAATTTGATAGCAATTACAGGGAGAGAAAAGATTAGTGATTTTAAAAGTGCTTTAAAGAAAGAGCTGTTATCTAAGAAAACTGGCTTCTTACTATTTCAATACTCTGAGTTGAAATTCACACATGATACTATCTTTTCCAATTTTTGCATCATGCTTTTGTTAAATGAGGGAAATGGATTTAGTTAATATTTTCAATTATATACAATGAAAGCATCATAGCTTTAAATTTAAAAGTGATATACCATATCATATAGGACAGGAAAACTCAATAAAGTTCCAGTGATTTTTTCATCTTTCCCATTGAAAAAAAAAATACCATCACTGAAGATAATGTTAGAAAAGGTATGTTATATTGTGCTCACCCTGACAAAGAAGCTATTTCAAGAAATGAGAATAATAAAAGTTATTTCTAAACTTTGAAAGATCTGTTGTAATGAATTGAACTAGTTCAGTTTCTGATTGCTTGCCAGCAGTGTAGCTGCCTCCAACCTACTCCTGTATTGATCTGGTAGCCTTTGTGGCAGTGCATAAAGAATAACCATCTGTGTCAGGTGCAACAGCAGGTGCGAGATCTCCATTGAACTGACTGCTGCCCTGATTACAATGAGGCTGTTTAGAGCACCTGGTGACCACGACAGGCTTTTTCTTTTTTGCAGAAAAGAAACCCATCTCTGAAAGTTTACTGAACAGAAACTGAGAAACTCACCAGAAATCATCAGCTGTCGAGGTGCTGGAATGGACTCCAGTGAAGGCAAAGTAAGAGATCCAGTGATGGGAAGATTCTGGCTTGCAGTAGAAGATTCCAGATCCAGCATACTAGGCTCAAGTTCCCACTTGGACCATTCTGTGGAAACTCTGACCTCTTTCTTTAAATCAGGTGTTAAGGTCAGATAATCCATATAATATGGCCAATCAGGTCTAATTACAGACATGGGGGTAGAAGTCTGTATTGGAAGTGACTGAGTTGCTGAAACTGCAAAAAATGCAACATTTGAGGTTACTTCTGAAAAATCAGGCATTGAGTCTGTATATGGTGGTAAGTTGGTTTTTAAGTCGTTTGTATGTATGATTTCTGAATATATCTTTAAAGTAACATCCAGATGACTTTGTACATTTAATTCAAAATCTAGAGAACTATCACTTGTATGAAATTTGATCTGTTGATGAGATCCTTTACTTTCTTCCACATCTGATAGACTGTCTTGATTTAATGCCTCCGTGGGGCCCATAGTCACACTATATTGTCCTATTTTCAATAGTTTTAAAATGTTTCCTGATACTGACAGATCATCAGTAGTCAGTTTTGAAGTCACATCAGAATTCATCAAGTCTGAAGAGACAGTTTGCGAAGGGACAATGGATAAACAAGTCTTATCCAAACATAAATTAACATCCAAATTACTTGATAGAGTAATGGATTCTTCCAAGGATGAAGATAAAATTATTCCTTTTGCGCTCTTTTTAGAAGGAAATAAAGATGGCACTTTTGTGAATGCCACTGATGGTGTTATTTCAGGAGCAGAAGAAAATGAATGCCCAGAAGTGATAGTTTGAGCTCCCATTAGTGCATACCAGCTGGCTAATATCGCTGAGTTCATCCAGAATGCCTCATAAAAGTGGGACTGTTTGCTATGCAAAACTTGATCTGAGAATTCATGAGAGGATTTTATTTCAGTCATAGAACATGTTGCACATGTTTGGCTCAATTCTCTTAAAGAATCAGCAGCCTGTGATTTGATGTTTGTGAGTCTCCGGTTGCTAGATGCTTCCGTAATAACCTGATATTCACTGGGGATGGAAGCTTGTGTGCTGAGTCGGTGCAGAGTTGATGAGTTTAAGATGGCTACCTGTTTGGATAAAATTATCTTAGCAGGAAAAATGGGAGACATCGAGGAGCTCTGCAATCTCCAGCGCTCTCTTCTTGAAATTAAGGAAAGGGCTGAATATTCTTCAATATCCTCTTGAGACCCCCTAGAGACAATTGGAGGTGCACTTATGGAAGCAGTTGTGAGCAGGAATCCGCGGGAGAGTAATGAGTGTCTGTTTAACTCAATATCAGCCCCTGGAATGCCACTAATTACTGAATTCATTGTGGCAGCAGAGAAGGCAACAGTCTGATAGTTCTCAAATAATAAAGATTGTGTAGGAAAAATAAAATCTCTCATTAAGGAAGAGACGATAAAAGGTGTCTTCAATCCCCTATCAGGGAAAAAGAATGCTGCTAGGGTGGCTGCTGAAGTTTGGATTGGCATGTGTGATACAGATGTTTTGCCCCAGAAAATTTGTGCTGGGTCATGAACACCAAAATTCAGAAATTGAGAAGAGGAAACATCTGTGAAAGAAAGAAGATTTTGTTTTGCTAAAATCTCTCTAGTGGAAATCAGTTCTTCCAGTAAGGAGCTTTCAAACGACATGCTAATACTTAAAGCTGCCAAACCAGTTGTTGGGAGAACATCATGCTTGAAAATGTCTGTCTGTCTTGGACCTTCAGAAAGGAAAAGACAAAAAAAAAAAAAAAAAATCAGAAAAGTGAATTAAAAATGAACAACTTTGGCCCCAGGCTGAATCTTCAGCAAATTGCACTGCCACCCCACACCCATTATGTGCAGATATATTTGGCTCTGTAAATCATATTTCTAATAAAAGTATAGGAATAAATATAGTGACTTCACAAACTGCATAAATGCAAAGATTCCTATGATTCACACCCCACAGGAGGACCAAAGTCAGAACAAATGACAGACATTACAGAAAATTGACATATCCTCATCCAAATGGCACCCTTGAATTATAAGACATGAAAAATTACAACTCCTGTCATTTGGTAGGACCAATGAATATTTGACCTATGGGGCTAGTAACATTAAAAAATATGTAACTTTCTAAATAGGCAAAATATTCTTCTTTATATTTGATAATATTATATCTCATTATATCATAACATTATATTATCATAATATTATAATATCATAACATTATATTATAACATTATATTTGATAACATTATATCTCTTTATATTTGATAACATTATATCTCAATATAACTCCTTAAAAGAACAGAAATTATATAGACCAAAAAAACAACAGACAAGCTACCTTTTCATTTCGAATATCCAATAGCTTTCAAAAATATTTTTTCTTAAAGAAGGAATATATTGGTAAGGGTTTTACTCTAATTATCCAAGTGACATTAACTATATGAAAAGTAAATTTGGAATTTAACATAGAATATGTATTTTATAATATGACATCTTTTGATTTAGTAAGTTAAATAATAGGACATATCAAAGCAGTCTCAAGTGTCAAAATACTTCAGAATAGGAAAATACATATTTTTTATTTTAGCATTTTCAAATAAATTGATAGGAATATAAGTTTACATATAAATAATTCAGAGGGTATTAAATAAAGACATAATGAAGAAAGTAGTACAAGGCAAATAAATACTGAAATAACTCAGAAAATATATTTTCAGTATACAACTTTTTCAAACTCAAAACTTCTTCGTATCTTACTTCCTTCTGCTTACCTGGATCAACTGGGTAAGTATCCACTATGTTCCATATTCTTGTAGCCTTTACATATGGAAAGCTGCTGACTGAAGTCTCTGAAGGGGGTACTGTATATGTTTGCACAGAAATGGCTTCTGTTCTTTGAGAGATGGGAGGTATACAGGTAATTCTGCTTATTTCATCACCACAAAGAAGTCCAATGGAGCAGGTCTGCAAATGACAATCATGGCAATTAAATTAAACTCATGGTTTCTTTGTTCCTGAGAGAGAATATTTTAAGTTTGTTTTAAGTTCCATTTGCATTTTCATAGTCACATTGGATGACTCAAATCATCACCTTATTTTATTTGAAAATGAAATCTCTATAGTAAATATTACCCATATTTCAAAATTAATTCAATCCTTCTAATTTGGAATATGCACAATGGAATGACCAAATTTATTCTTAATTCCTTTAACTTTAAATCAAAATACTACTTTACATTTGATTTGAGGATATTTTTTTTTCCAATGAGAAATTTGTACTGTATGGAAATCAATATGGATTTAAAACCTATGGTATAAATTATACATTTTCTGCCCTACCAGTCATATTTAGTTGGAAGCTAATATAAAATACAGTATTTACAACAGAAAACTTGAAAATATTTTCTTGTGATGTTCACATCATTCTAATTTGTATTTACTTATAGAAGCAATGTTCTATATATTTTAGTTTGACATGAATAGCCTATTTCTGCCACATCCTTATGAAACAATTTCCACAAGAAGAAATTGTTTTTAGCTCATAAAAAAGAGAATTGTGATGCATGGATCAGGGGGATACTCTCTTAAATGTAGAATTAAAAAGTAATTGTACTCTTTAAACCATTTTGATCTTTAAGAAAATAAAATTTTAAAGTTGTTTTAAAATCCAAATATATGTCTATTTTCTAACATTAATGACATACCTGATAGGTATCCCTGTTTTACTGCTTTACTATTTGTTTAAGACTGTATCTAATTTACATAAACTTAAGGCTTGTTTTAGATATTTTTTTATTTTTTGGTTTCATAGTTTTATATCCCATAGTCACTTTCAACTCACACCCAAAAGTTTTTTATAAAGGTCAGAAGATTCCTGATGTTAGATAACTGCTTCTCCCAACAAAGAAAAGCCCAGATCCAGATGACTTTCCTGATGATTTTTACCATACTTTTAAAGAAAAATTAACACTAATTTTTCTCAAACTGTTACAAAAACTCAAAGAGGATGAATTTTCTCCTAACCCATTCTATGAGGTCAATATTATCCTGATACCAAAACCAGATAAGGACACATCACAGAAGGAAAACTACAGGCCAATATCCTTGATGAACATGGATGTAAAAATCCTCAACAAAACACTAGCACACTGAATCCAACAACACATCTGAAATATGATATACTACAATCAAGTGGTATTTATCCCAGGACTGCAAGGATGGTTCGATAATCAATAAATGTGATACATCGTATGAAAAGAATCAAGGACAAAAACCATATGATCATCTGAATAGATGCAGAAAAATTATATAAAATTGAACATCATTTGGTATAAAAACTTTCAACAAATTAAGCATATAAAGAAGATACCTCAACACAATAAGGGCCAAATACGACAAACTAATAGCTAACATCATATTGAATGGGCAAAAGTTGAAAGCCTTTCCTCTAGGAATTAAAACAAGACAAGGATGGCTACTTTTACTACTCTTATTCAAGATAGTACTTCGAGTCCTAGCCAGAGCAATTAGTTAAGAGAAAGAAATAAATGATATTCAAATTGAGAAAGAATATGTCAAATTGTTCTTCTTTACAGATGGCATGAGCTTATATATAGAAAAACCTAGTTACCACCAAAAAATACTTAGAGATAATAAACAAATTCAGTGAAGTTGTAAGATACAAAATCAACATATGATAAATCAGTAGCATTTCTATATACCAATGATGAATTAGTTAAAAAAGAAATCAAGAAAGTAATCACATTCACAATAGCCATAAAAAATAGCTAGAGATAAGTTTAAGCAAGGAGGTGAAAAATATCTACAATGAAAACTACACAACTGGACGAAAGAAGTTGAAGAAGACACAAAAAAATGAAATGCATCCCAAGGTCATGGATCATAAGAATTAATATTCTTAAAATGACCATACTACCAAAAGCAATCTATAGATTCAATACGATCCCTATCAAAATTGCAATGACATTCTTCACTGTATCAGAACAAACAATCCTAAAATTTTTATGGAACTACAAAAGACACTGAATATCCAAATAAATCCTGAGCAAAAAGAACAAAGCTGTGGGCGTCACGTTACCTGTCTTCAAAATACACTACAAAACTATAGTAATCATAACAGCATTTCATTGGTATAAAAACAGATACATAGACCCATGGAACAGAATAGAGAACCTCAAAATAAGACTACATATGTACAGCCAACTGATTTTTGACAAAAGCCCTAAGAACAAACGTTGGGAAAGGACAGTCTCTTCAATAAAAAATAAAACTAGACACCTATCTCACTATATGCAAAAATCAACTCAAAATAGATTAAAGACTTAAGCATAAGCCCCCAAACTATAAAACTACCAGAAGAAACGTGGGAGAAATGTTTAAGACATTGATCTAGCCAAAAATTTTATTACTAAGATTTCAAAAGCACAGACAACAAAAACAAAAATAGACAATAGAACTAAATTAAAATAAATAGAACCAAATTAAAAATCTCTTCACCACAAAGGAAACAGTTAACAGAGTAGAAGGATAACCTGTAAAATAGGAGAAAATGTTTAAAAACTAGTTATCTAACAGGGGACTAATATCCAGAATATATAAGAAAGTCAAATAACTTGACAGCATAAATCAAATAATCCAATTAAAAAGTAGGCAAAGAATCTGAATAGACATTTCTCAAAAGAAGACATACAAGTGGCCAACAGCTATATGAAAAAATGTTCAACATCACTAATCATCAGGGAAATGCAAATCAAAACCACAATGAGAAATCAACTCTCCCCAGCTAGAATGGTTATTATTAAAAATACCAAAAAAAAAAAAAAAAATTCTGGCAAGGATGTGGAGAAAGGGAACCTTCATACATTATTGATGATAATGTAACTTAGTAATGTATCATAAAAAATAGTATGGAGGTTTACGAAAACTAAAAACAGAAGTACTATATGATCTTGCAGTCTCACTACTGGGTATTTATCCAAAGGAAAGGAAATCAGTATATCAAAGAGAGACTGTCACTCCCATGTCTACGACAGCTCTATTCACCATAGCCAAGATTTGGAATCAATTTAAATGTCCATAAAGAGATTAATAGATAAAGAAAAGGTGGTACATATATACAATGAAATACTATTTAGTCATAAAAAAGAATGAAATTATGTTATTTGAGGTAATATTGATGAACCCGAAGGACATTATGTTAACTGAAATAAGCCAGGCACAGAAAGACAGATACCACATATTCTCACTCGTATGTGGAAGCTAAAAAAGTTAGGCTCATAGAAGTAGAGAGTAGAATTTTGATCAGGAGAGGTTAAGAAAGATTGGGGAGGGGAGGATAAAGAGAGGTTGATTATTGGATGCAAAGTTACAGTTAGATGGGGGAATTTCTAGTGTTCTGTAGCACTGTGGGGTGAATATGGTTAACAGTAATTTAGTGTGAATTTTAAAAAGCTAGAATAGAGGATTCTGAATGTTCACAACACAAAGAAATGATAAATGTTTGAGGTGATGGATATGCTAATTATTCTTATTTGACCATTACACATTGTAGGCATGTATTAAAATATCACTCTGTATTCCACAAATGTGTACAATTATTATGTGTCCACTAAAAATAAAAGAAACAATGAATTATAAAGTTTTTGCACATAAAAAACAAACATTAAATGGAAAAATATCCATAGTAAACAAAAACACAGGATCCATAACCCTAATGAGTAAAGAATGCATGTAAATTCAGAAAAAAGAGAGAAAATAGTAAAAGGTAAAACTAGAAGTGATAAAAGAAACAGCAAGAAAATAATTGAATATGATTTCACACCTTAAGGACCCAGTGATTTGTCCTTTTCTTCACTGTAACAGCAAGCCCGGGAAAGACTTTACAGATTAATGAAAATGCACATGAAACTACGGTAGAGATCAGAATGCCAATTTACTAGCTTACAGTGAAAATGTAGGTGTTAACAACTCATAAATACTTCCAGGGTCCTGGTCAGCACTTTTCTCCCCAAATTATAGTCAAAAGCCATTATTTATTACCTTGAAAAATCACTACCACAAGGTTAAGGAATCCTCAAAGGCCCCTGATCAACAAGTTCTCTCTGTGTCAGCATAGCTACAAAAGAATCAAAGGTTTCTTTCATATGCATTAGATCGGAACATGTAGAATTAGCTGATTTGAATGCTTAATGACATGAGGTTAAGATATCACTATAGGAATGATCTAATTAATAGGACTGGAATACTTGATGTTCATTGGTTAAAGCTAACTATCCCTATACCAACTTACAATGGCACCATCAACATTTGTCTCTATGATTCTGATATGCTCTCTGATAGTTCACACTTCTATATCATTTGATATGGTAAGACATTCATTCTTCGAGGTGACACTTAGGTCCAGCAGCCAGGAAACCATATGTTTACTTTCCTATGTTGCATGCCTAAGCTCACATCCATCATATGCTGTTCTTACAGCTCTCAAAGGTGAAATTATTTTCTCAATTTCAAGCTTGATAGAAAACATCTCTTTCTATTTCCCAAGTACTAGCAATAAGAAACTCATAATGTGTTTTTTTTTCATTAAATATTCCACCAAGTAGACTTTATTGTTTGACTTTCATCCTTCCTTCCTTCCTCCCTCCCTCCCTTCCTTCGTCCCTCCCTCCCTCCCTCCCTCTTCCTCCCATATGAGAGAAAGAGAGAGAGAGAAACAGAGAGGGGGAGGATATACTGACACATTCATTGGATGTGTTTATACAAATATTGTATATGTTAATACATTCTCAATACATTCAATACATTCCATCATAATTTTTCCTGGAGAAATTTCTCTATTCTCCTTAGTTAAACCCCAAACTGTGTGGTAAAGCTTACTCTATGTTAACTAAACACACTTCCTCTTCCTCTTGGACTATAATGTCCCAGTCCCTCTTGTAGTTATA